TATATGATAAGTTAAGAAAAAAGTTCTCTAAAATTAAGAAAACAATTCTCTGTAATGAGGTCCAGCACTCCAAACAATAATTCTTCGTTGTCAACATTCATGATATCATTTTGTTTTGGAATTCCATCTGCATTAGCCACTGATTGACCTGTTCTTCGTCAAGGTCCATGGGTGTAAGAAGACACTAAACTAGAATACTTCATCAAATATATACTTAGTGTAAAGGTTTTAATTTCGCCGCGTAAGGCTTGTATATCATTGCATATAGTGCCAGAAATATATTTGTTTGGTATTTGTAACATCACGTTTATTTTGTATTACAAGCTTTCGATATATAAGGTTGCATAGATCTTCACCAATGCATGTAGGCTATTAAATTATTATAGTACCAACAATCTTGGGTAGAAAGCTTCGCTAAAGCCGAGACAAAAAAATGAACGTGTCCACAAAACAAAACAAAACAAAACAAAACAATTATATTTATTTTTACCATGCCAACATACAACGTCAAGGATCTCATTAATGTGCTTTATGACACGAAATATCTGTAAAAAGCAAAATAATTAATTATTTAAAAAAAACACAAAATGCTTGAAAATGTGACAATCTTTTTATCTCTAAATTATGACAAATAAAAATATTTTAAAATTCTTTAAATTTTTATTTAGCTTTGGCGTAATTGCCTCAATATAATTGCCTCAATGTTGGGCGTAATTGCCTCTATACAAAGTCTTGTTTTTTGTGATATTTGCCCATGGGTATGGCCAAGAAAATAGGCGAGTTTACTGCAATGGCAACGAAATTGAGGCAGAAAGAGCATGGAAAACTGTAAAATAAGTTCACTGGACAACTTTTCCTACTTATCTTTTTTCGTTCGGAGATAATATGTAAATTAAATAAATCTATGGCATTATAAAATATTAGTAGAGTCTGGTACTGATATACTACAGTATAAGGTAGTATATTATCTCAAAGGATAAAAATGATGAAATATTTCAAGCCATACCATATACAGCTAATTCAAAAAACGTTTTCCTTTGAAAAACCTTAATTAAACTCTAAACCTTACCTTAAATTCTAATTAAGCGTGCAAAGCATAACATAATACTCTCCCAGCTGGTACATACAATACACCTGAATCAATGGGCATGCCACCCACTGGAGTACTGAGCGCAAAACTTCAATCATAACATTTGAGTTACCAAGTATACAGAACGTCGTAGGCTATTAGTTGATTTGCATTATTACATTGTAGGAGATTTCATTTCTTGTTACTGTAACAAAATAAAGAGCACTGATTTCAAACGGCGTGTTTTATTTTGGGTCACCTAATGCCACTTTGAAATAATGTAGGCTATATATAGTCCGTGAGTTAGTGCCCTCAAACGTTTAGTTTCACTGTACACCTCGCTAAGCTAAAAAATACTTACATATTCTTACAGATTTAAGCACGCTGGATTTAATTCTAAAAATCAATAACCCTGCAGTTGTCGATAACCCTGCAGGTTTTTTGTAAATTGCGATCAAAATCTTAAAATTTACGAGTTTCGCAATTATAGCATTTTTACTATATGCCATACCTCAAAATGCGTACTCTTGGAACCGCGCCATAGTGAAAATTATACAGGATAGGTCATTTCCGATGATGTGAACTAAGATTTCAGGTAAACAATGAGCAACACTATTTTTAAGTTTCGTATATTATTGCGACAAAGCGTATTTTCTGGCTTTGTACGAAGATATTTAGCAACACCAGGCATTCTTTCAAGATTATGAACTTATGTGCACACTATTTCATCTTTATGACGTGTAATGAAGGACGAAACAAACTTCAAGTTTATATTTTGAAGCCAGAATAATGGACATACTGTAGTATCAAAGATATTTGGATGGTAAACCGAAAACTATCAAATACTTAATAGTAAATATATAAAATACATATTTAAACAATACTATAATTAATACCATATACTATATAGTAATTAATAGCACATTAGCTTTCATTTCGTGGAAAACTACACAATCATCACAATCCACTGCCTCCTCATCAGAGTCATTCACATTATCAATTTAATTATCTTCATCCATATCTCATTGTTCTCAGAATTGCTGCATTGGTTCAGTGCACTTCAAATTTGATTTAAAACATGAGCATCTTTTTGTTTGACAAGCCTTTTTGAATTCGCAGCTAAAAAATTGTATAAAGATGCTGTCGGCTGTCTGGAGCAGGCTTGGGTCCCCCATGCACAGGGGTGGAAAAAGTATCAGACCATATACGGGACCAAAAATTTGTAACCAATAGAAAGAATAATATCTGCTGTTTTGGTGTAGTGTACTCAGGTGAATAAGATGCTTGTGATGTTACTCTGAGTGTATATCCACACCGGGCAGGCTTGTTGCCAAGCATTGGGCTAGTATTCCAAAGGTCGTAGGTTCAATTCCCAACGTGGCCAGGCATATTTTTCAAGCCTGCCCGGTGTGAATATACACAGGGACGCCGGAACGATGTGAAGGCAAGGGGGTCAGATTTTCGTGAAAGGGCACTTTTGAATTGATATATACTAAGAGATGTTTGCAAAACATCGGGAGTTGAACTTCGTCTAATCATGTTTTCTATTTATTGGATGATAGGGGTGTGAGGGGGTTCTCCGCCAGGCGATTGTGCTATTCTTGAAGCTCGATGACTGCATTTCTTGCGTTTTCTGACGCAAATTCGTAACAAATTTGCATTAACATTTCTGACAATTCGCTATTTCGCCAAGGCAATCCTTTAAATTAAAAGGGCAACTTTGCCCCCCTTGCCCCTCCTGGTAAAGGGCAAAGGGGGCGGCTGCCCCTCCTGCCCCGCCCCCAGTTCCGGCGTCCCTGGATATACACTCATAGTAACATCACAAGCATCACAATAGAAAGAATGTTACCTGTTCTGTAGGAATGAGCTCAGAAATGCATTCATCTTCATTCATAGTGTGATAGTATAAAAATGTATAGATTATAGAGTGATGTAACAAATGTTGGATGGCATATGCATTTTTAGCCAATCTGGGGCAAAATTTCAAAATGTACCGGGGAGTATTGTCTCCTTTATAGCTGCTCTTTTTGTCGAGGTTTCTCCCCATGAGCAGCTGCTCACTCGAGCACAACATTCCAATCCTTTTGTCTTATGTATCAATATCACTATCAGTTCTGTGCTTTCCACATTTTCACATTGGCATAATTCGGTGCATTGTAAATCTGCTTTCCATATCCGGATTTTGAGGGGGAGGTGGGGGAGGTGAGCACCTCCCCTGAGATCGTTTTGCACATCCCCTGAGAATTTTTGACCCTCTCCTGAAACGTCATATGCACCTACCTTGGGGAAGTTTCAATGATAGATCAAAGTGAAAATTTGACCTTTTCTGGTTGCTTAGTGTATACACTTATAAGAACGTTTTTCTGTAAAATTGAAAGAGCGATAGCCATTATATTCAACTCTGTGTCAAGTACCCTTTTAATGCAATCTTTTGAAATACATTTTGTAGTAATTGTATTGAAAGGCAAAATTGGATGAGTTATACAGTCATGATTCATTAATGCACTGACACATATGTAAACAATATGCATATGTCACATTTTTGACTTTCGCCCATTCCAAGCCCTAACTTTCAATAGGGTCGTGAGCTAGACCGCTGCACCTACCCCAAATTTTTCCCATCTCCACCACAATTCCACCAAAATCCGGCCTTGCCGCTTTTTTACATACATTTACATTACTATTGGTTTTGCAGCCTTTTTTGCACCTGCACATTACATATAATTTCAAGAATACTATCAGTGCCGTAGCAAGCTCGATAATTGGGGGGGGGGCTCATATTTATATATTCGTGTTCACAGACCATAAAAACAATCGATTTCATAGACCATAAAAACAAAAGATATTAATAACGCAGAACACGAATATATGAATATGAGCCCCCCAATTATCGAGCTTGCTACGGCACTGATTACTATCTGGAGCACTTTCCATTGCGACCCATTTGATGTCCAGATCATTTGTTTCTATGGTCCCGCCATATCCACCTGGTGATGGTGCAGAAAGGCAGTGCAACAGCAAGAGGTGCACATGTAAGAAAACGGATTTACAATGCACAGAATTATGCCAATGTGAAAATATAGAAAGCACAGAATTTATGGAATATGATAGTGATAATGGACTTGATGAAGATTCTGACGATGATGACAATTAATTTTTGACAGTTCTGAAATGTTATTTTTGGTATTGTCAGATATTGTTACATATGTATGATTTGACAGGGTTCGAAATACCACTGTTCAATTTGCACATCGTTTTGGACCAAATAGTGAAAATTGCATTAATCACTTTTCTAAACGATATGCAAAAAAATCAGACAGACTGGGACTATTAAAATTAAATGAACATCGATCCATCCATATTTTATAGATTTATACAAAGCCAATCTTTAATGAATTTGTCTTATAATTTATAAACAAGTGCTTTTGCATGCACACTAGCAGCATGTTTGCAGAGTGGAAGTTGTCAAATTTTAGCCACCAAGATAGACAGACAAACACATGACTGATTAATGTTATCTGCAGTCATGTTAAGCCTGCAGCACACGAGAGCTATCTGCTGAGCCAAAAGTTACTCGTGTCTGTTAGCTCAGCCGATAGCTCACCGATCAAACATGTTTGATACGTGAGAAAAGGTTGCATGAGGCAAAAAACTCATTAAAATGTACCCGCACACGGTGAGCTATTGGCTGAGCTAACAGGCACGAGTAACTTTTTGCTCAGCAGATATAGCTCTCGTGTGCTGCAGGCTTTATGTGCAGCATGACTGAGGAATGGAATTAGCTATAGGCTGGCTAATTCACGGAGAACAATCGCCAGCATGCAAGGTTTGCTCGGATATAATTAACAAATGGATTAAATTCAATTTTTTCAGATTGTCATTAGTTGAAACAAAATTGTTATAAACAGAAAATACAGCACGCTGTTTGATACGAGTATTTTGTATTTATTCGCAGTCACAAGACATGAAATTTCTCTTACAAATATCTACATACATTTGTAATAATGCAAGCCAACTAATACATATACTGCATGAATACTTGGTGAATCAAAAGTCACTCTCCTTGAATTACAGGTCTTGCGCTCAGTGTTCCCTCGGGTGGCATGCCCATTAATTCAGCTGTATTGTATGTACCAGCTGAGAGAATATTAGTGAAACCAGAATGATTTGCCCAACAGTAAATCCGCCATTGCCCTTCACCCGCTATGACGCACGATAACGCAGCAGAACCAATATCAAGCGAAATGTTGCCGACTTCTGCAAAATACATTCGGCTGTTTCCTGTCTGCTGGTTTCCAGCGTATGCTGTAAAAGTACTGGCCATAATCTAGAAAACGATTAATTAAAAAGCTGATGTTACTGTTTATTCTTGTCAGTGTCCCTGAACTGCCCTCCTGAAGTAACTTTCTTTCTTTTACTGCTGTTACATGAACAAGTAAAAACATTTTACAAAACAACGAAAATATTTTTGCTCTGGCAAAAGCTCTGGCCTATATGCCACTAGGATATAACTTTTGGGAAAAATCTCACAGGCCTGCTCATCAGCATCAATGATATCATGATGTTTGCGTTTGTTTATATATATATATATATATATATATATATATATATATATATATATATATATATATAAATATATAAATATATATATATATATATATATATATATATTGAAATTAATCAATTTCTTGAGTCAATTCAAGCTCCACCATTTTCTTAACTCGGCTTGAGTGATGCTGTTGATTTGACTCTATCAGACACTACAACGACTCCTATCGTCGCTTGATCATGGTCATTGATAACAAATATAATGGAGATAAAAGGCTCATAGTTGTAACATTGTGAAATTTTCAAGTGAGGCTCATGCATGTAGACTAGTCAGTTCCTGCAGTAGGTCCCTGCCTAAAACGCAAGTTATAGCCTGTTTTAAACATTTTGTATTACCGTAAATTTGTAAGGAAAGCTAAGGAATCAACCAGCTTTGTCGAACATTTGTTGGACGAATTTTGGAATGTTTAAATACACCATTCGAACAGTGTTTTTGAGATTGGCTTTGGAGACCGGATTTAAATTAAATGCCATTACTGGGCATTATATATTGTGCTTTTAGACGGAACTAGATTTATTACTGTATAGTTACTAAGTTAACGAAATTACAAATCAAATATAAATCTACCATTTCTATTCATATTATTCACACGTAATGTAATCCGTTTGGCTGCAAAGCACCGGCTTAACTTGCATTTATAAATTATGGAGCGGTTGTCCCTATCTGTGATGTGGTTGTCCTTAAAAGTTGTCCTTGAAAGTTGTACTTAATCCACAGTTTCCAACCTCTCTTTAATTACGACCAATTTCGTTTATTCTAATACCGGTACGTTTCTTAGGATTCCCACAAGCCATAGTTTAATGTATTATATTTCGTAGATGCATTGAATGTATGATATTTGCTGCTATAAAACTTGGAAAAAAAACTAAAACACAGCAGAGAACCAACTACAACACCTCTTATACAAAAGCTTTAAAAGCGCGCTTAATGATGGTGCAGGACAGTCACCCTAAAGCAACGCCAACAAACAGCTGGCACAACACAGAAAAAACGCCACATCCTACGCAACCAATCAGACCGTTGAAAAATATATAAAACCTGCAAATTTTTCTAGTTATTTACTTACAAACAAGTGTATTGAATTTATCCAAGTTATTCTACCAATATTTCTTCACTTCTTCGATCCTCTCACGAAATGTGACTTTATTGTTGCGAAGGCGCCCGTATTTATATCCTGGCAATCTAATTTATTCTACCCGCACACTGTGCAAGCTCAATGGAATTCGAGGTTATTATGTCCAATGTATAATGACACGTGAGGTCAGTAACTGTATTCTACAGGGTGTCCCAAAAAAACCCCGAAAACTATTGAAATCACCAATAACAATTTAATTGTTAGAATTTGAATGCCTTAGCGCTCTGTTGGTTCCCACGAGTGCATAAAGTACATTTTATGCATAAAGAAACTGTTTAAGAAGCTGTTTTTAATTCCCAGGAGCAGAAAATCGCGCACTTTACCAGGAGATACTCCTAACTAAATTCTAATACATGCACCTTGTCAATATTTTACGCATCATTTCGTCCAGCTGTTTGGTATAGGGCATTCAAATTTAACAATAAGTGATTTCAATGGTTTTCGGGGTTTTTGGGACACCCTGTCGATATATTTTAAGACACACACCTACACAACAGGAATCTAATTTAATACACCGCACACCAACTTGCTTAATTTAATTAAACTAGGTTACCCACAGGGCAGTAATGCTGCCTTTGACAGCAAAATACAAACTACAGGGTGTTGAACGAGTCCTTCAGAAACATCCTATTATTGTTTAGCCTGCATGGCAGGCGGTTCCTAAAATTGGGCAAGCCTGGGAAATACCGCCTGCCATGCAGGCTAATTATTGTTATCCTTGTTAACCCATTTATTGACAGTGGCTACCACTGACTGAGTATTAAAAATCGTCTGGCGTTGGACAGGGTAAATACTAAAGTAGGGGTTATTACTGTGCTGATGAATTAACAAGAGCCATTGGCAGATAGGTTTGTTAACCCATTTACTGGCAGTACCCTATACCACTGACGAGCAAAATCTTCTGGCGCTCGACAAGGGAAGGGCGCATGGCCAGCTAATGGGTTAAACCACCGTGGTTAAACATAAGATTTCATGATGCTCCAGGAAATGTAAACAAGCTATCAGTGTGACATCCCAGTTTATATATCTATATACTCGGAATATTGATTTCTCGGTACATACAAAATTATTTTAAAGTATAACAACCAGCGAAGACGTAAGGCACTAACTACCCTGCGCGGCTGCGCGCAGACTATATAACGACATATATATGTCATCCGTCCGGTCCGTCCGTCATTCATCCGTCCGTCCGTATCCGCGTTTTATCCTAACCCGTTTTTAAAACACAAAGTTTGCATTTAATTAAGGCAGTGCGGTTCGTCATGATCAATATTTTCAAAAGCGGCCAATTACACCAGGGGTTAAAGGGCAATGACAATGACATGCAGGTGACATTTAACATTGCGTCTCACTAATTAAAATTTGCGTGTTTAATAGTGTTTATCAAAGAAAGCAAAAATATATACAAGACAATCTCACATGTGGAGTTTTTTCACTTATAGTACGTACTGCCTTGTGATGCAGCACAAGTATAAATACAAATGACAAAGCATTTGTAAATCCCAAAACATAATTAAATCGTACGGCACATTTAAGATTTTAATATCGTATTTCAGCCGCGTTTATACTGTTTGGCGCATTCGCTGCGTTATATATATTCATTTACATGTATATACACAGAAAAGCATGTCATTGTCCTTGCAGACCATAGGCAAAAAGCATTTGTCAATCATGCACATCGCGTATAATATTAAAAGCACCGCATATAGTGCTCGAACCACTGCGTATAATTGCAAAAGCATCGCGTATATAAATGGTGAAAGCACCGCGTATAATACTAGAACCATCGCGTATAATGGCGAAAGCACCGTGTATAATGCCAAAAGCACCGCCGTATAATGCTAAAAGCACCCAACAAAATGCCGTTTGATCACTTTAAGCCAGCTATGGCTTTCCATAAAAGAAGACCAAAGATGAAACATGATCACATTGCCTGTTTGCCTTATGCCTGACTGCGCTGCACCACGGTTAAAATTCACTGGTACCGTCATGCAATGCGCCAAATAGAAAATTTTGATTTCGACCCACAAAACAAAATTAGGATCTGCTGCCTTGCTCGCTCGCTTCAGGCTCGCTCGTTGCGGCAGCAATTAATGGAATGTGAGGTTATTATTTCCAATGTTTTATGACACGTGAAGCCAGTGATGGTATTCTAGAAATATTTTAAGAGACACACCAATCTAATTTAATCAACTGCACGTCAGACGTTGTCGTCTCTAAAATTTTGTTTTGATTGTAATAACGGGTACTTTCACGGGTACTGAGATATGATTATTTAACTGTAACTATTTCTAAAAAGAATCGACGTTTTTCGTTTGTGTGCACTGATCCTCAAAACGAAGATCTTCCAACTTCTCCAATTAATGGAAACATCTTTAGGGTGGATATATTCACCAAAGCCAATACCATTGAACGCTACACAGTTATTAAAGTTGTTCAGATCTGGCACTTTAATTTCATACTAGGCTGCATTCAGATATTCAAATATGCTTATCAATTTGACCCGCGGGATGAAATATTTGTGAGCAAGCATGCAATAATATGCAGATTGTTTTGCATAGCAGAAAATTCCACTCTCTTATTAAAGCTGGAGTAATACGAGCAACAAAATTGCTGCAACTTTCAACAAAATCTGATTTCAACGCATGTTAAGTAGAAATGTTGACACATGTTGCCTCGTGATTTGCAACTTATTTGTGAACATTCTCAATTAACATGCGTTGAAATGTTGCAGCAATTTTGTTGCTCGACTTACTCCAGCTTAAGTAATGAAAATTTATTCGTTTCAATTTGAGACTAAAACATACATAATCATTCCGATACAGAAGTGTTTACTCAATATGCGAATCTAATTAACAAATATCACCGGAGCTGTTCACATATAATCCCGGGTTGCCGGAACGATTTGAAGTAATGAGCTAAGTAGCGGTGAACGATCAAGCAAAAATTACACTAGTTTGAAATGATGGATTATAGTGCAATTGTAAATTGGATTTAATTAATGTTACGCAATTTGAGTTTTGCCACTACTGCAATAATTTAGTCAACATATAATGTTAGTTTTTCTCAAAATTGTATATAACGATCTTTAGTTGAACTCTTTCTTCATAAAGATCATGAAGCAGTATTTTTATCCAAACCAAGTTAGATTTTTACAATTGAGTCATTTATCAAGGTTGCACAGAATAATGCTATACAGACGAAATAAGCTTCGTTTATCATTTAACAATGTTGGACAAGACAAAATATCACTGAATTCTCGTACCAAATATTACATCTCGCATTCACATTATGAAGAATCATCGGCGACAAAAACATCTGATGCCAAAAACGTCTTGTGTTTAAAATATTCTGGTTCAAAAAACTTCCTGCATGTGTGAAATATATCCTAGGTCAAAAAACTTCGAAATTCCTGTGTCAAAAATATCCTAGGTCAAAAAACTTCCTGTGCTAAAAATATCCTAGGTCAAGAAACTTCGAAATTCCTGTGTCAACAATATCCAAGGTCAAAAAAATTCCTGTGTCAAAAAGTTTTCTACTTCAAAATCTTCCTGTGAGATTTGCCAGAGCATACGGGCAACACGCATACATGTTTCGAAATACAGCGGGGATCTTTAGCTCTGTTATATAGTTACTCGGAAAGTAGGTAGAGCTATAATAATTATTATTATTATTACTACAAAATTTATATTGCGCATAAATCAATGGAAGTATCTTTTCAAATGCGCAATACAAAAATTATAGAAGAACAACATTATATACATATTCTAAAAATACTAATCTATAATGTATATCAACTTAAACTATGATCTAAACTTGAAGCAAAAGCTTTCTTAATTAAATAAAAATGTCCTCAAAGACTTTTTTAAATGGATGCGCTCATCCGCGGCGAACCAAGTAAATTAGCGTTCAATAACATGTGTGCTGCACCGCACCGATGGAAAATCCAACATCAGGCTGTTGTTAGTTAACTCTCAGTTGTTATAGTTAACTCTGTGAGATGTCAGCAATCCGGGCGAAACTGTCCAGATCAGGATCAGTGTGAGAACAAGGTTAATTATCTGGAATATATTGATATTAAAGTATTTGCTACCACAAGGAAAGTGCTGCAACGCGACCAAACCATCCGGTTAGGTTGCTCAAAATATGTTTATAATCCGTGGAAAATTCAAAACTAAATAACACTATAAAGGAAACAACATTATCTCAATTTTTTTAAAGAAGCAAAATCGATTTATTGTGGAAACAATTTATTGTAACAATCGGATGCATATATATGTAAGTTAAGAAAACAGTTCTCTAAAATTAAGAAAACAATTCTCTGTAATGAAACAGGTCCAGCACTCCAAACAATAGTAGCTAATAGAAATTAATTAAGTAATTCAGGATCATTCCACGGCTTATTTCTCCGACAATTTCTCTAGAATGTGGCCCAAAGGGTTACCTCCACACATTTAGCTATTATACGATTGTCACTAAAGTTAAGGTATTTTAGTGATCAGTTGCGGAATTTTGCAATATTCTGAGACACAAAGTCAGGTGTGGTCCCTTCCAGAGCAATAATAAACCTGCAATAAGTCACAGTTAACAATACTATTAATTTAATAATAGAATAAAGCAATACACAAGAGCCAAGGACTATTAATATTACTATTAATAATGGAAACATAACACTGTTATATATACCGTCTGTCTGTATAATGTTTTTACAAAGAACTGTCTATTATAGTTTGTCGGTTAGGCGGTTTGGGCGATTTTGAGATGCCGGATTTCGGATATATCTCAATTTTCGTGGCGGTTTACGGTGAAGAAATAATCACTCGGTAATGGAAAATAGTTGAGCATAGACTATATTACATAACTCATAAGCTCCTTTTGAAGATTGGCTATCAGTTCACACAAATGAAATGTAATAAAGCAGGGTAAATTTGTCATTTACTTAGACTATCAACCTCGTACCCGAGGTCTTTCCTCTTGGCGAGGGGAGAAAAGAACCTGGTAGGTGTTGGTCACGTGATTTGCTAAAATCTAGCATATTTTTAAAATTAGCCATCCAAGACGAGGTCAATAAATATTTGATATTTGGATGATTTTTATAGCTTAATTTATAATTTGCATTTTGTGTGATTGTCGTAAAGGAACCCAAGATAGTTAAGGTGGCTCCCTACAGTTTTAGGTCTGTGTCGCGGAAATTTTGTCCACGCGCAAGATTAGTTGTGGTACACGCAACACGCGTGGTCGACGTTGCACGCGTGGTGGGTTTTTTAAATTGCGTCGTGATATGCACGCGCGAGCCTTCGTGGGATTGTCGGCTGGTCGCGCGAGGAATTCGAAATTGAAATCCTGATTTTTGTGACGTCACATAAATAAAAATAAACGTATTTTTCTCGTGTTTCCTTCGGAAAAATTTTTTAAAACCTCACACACTTTCCTGTACTCTTGAAGTGCGTAAAAATGTGCAAGTTTTAAGAAAATCGTGAGAGTCGAATTTTTTTTATTCCAAAAACAGGGCTCTTTACGTACGCTTTAATTCTCGCACGATTTTTTTAAATGCTATCATTTGAAGAAATTATATATAAGATTACTGTGTGGAAAAAATGTTTACCGAAGAAATTTTCAAAAGACTATCAAAGAATATGCAAGTTGGCCCTTTTTAAAATCGCTTTGTTACCATGGCAACGGGGTTTTTAACGACATTTTCTCTGTTTCGTTATTCGCGATATGGTAGCAGTTATGTGGCGAAGTTTCGTGATCATACTTGGCAAGATGATAAAATAATGGTTTTTTGAATACAATTGTGTGCTGTACAATCAAAACTGTAGGGAGCCACCTTAATTAGAAATTTGCTAGATTTTAGCAGATCACGTGACCAGCGTCCACCATGGTAGTTTCTCTCCAAGAGGAATATCTGCCATAAAAATGGTCGAAACCTGCCTGGGAACTGGAAATTTTGTAAATTGTAGATCCGTTCTTACGCAAAATACAAAATGGCTTACTATGCAGTGTTGAAACTGTCAATTTATTGATCGTTATTATTTGAAAGTATCCATGACCTTGGGTTTGCATAAAGTGCGACACCTGCGGGGCATCAAAAACTTGCGAATCACACATCAATACAGCAGCAAGCCATGCATATTTTGCTGCGGAAACGTTTCTAATCAGATCATTATATTTGAACGAGTACGTACTATGTTATAGCATAGTTAATAGAAAAGATGGTTTGGAAACTCATTAGAATGACAATAAATCATTATCTATGTTAGTCAAGGATTATTCATAAATCTAGTCCTTCACCGTCACGTGTGTATTGTATTTTTGCCAAATCCACCAATAGCAATTTCCAATTTACCCCATTGTTCGAGTCACGGAGAGGTAACTTTCCTAATATATTGCTATTGGTTAGTTGGGCAAAAATACAATACACACGTGACGGTTAAGGACCAGATTTATGAATAAACATTGACTAACATAGTGTTATACGACCCCTTTTCTTGGTTATATTCAGACTAATACAGCAGGATCGTCGGGGCCGTAGGGATAATAGCTCAACAACAAGAATATCAATATCACTGACACCAACACGGTTTCTTTTATCACATATATATATTTTGAATATTGTGTGCGTCTGTGCGTTGCTTTTGATAGATACAAACGCTCTGACTACAGTCAGCTCTACTCTGACACTAAGACTCTAATACACTCACTGTTTCCTGACAGTGTCATACACATTGTTTCCTGTTAATTAAATTATGCTATTGTGCATTGTTCATCAATGGTTCATTGTATGCTTCATGTGATCATCACGTGCAACACTCGTGCATATAATTCTAGTGTATTATTTCCGTGTATAACATATCTCTCTCCTTTAAGTGAAAACCTCCCGGTTTTCAAAGTTATTACAATTAAATAAGTTCAATATGATCTTGATTTCAAGGTTAGCAGTCTTTCAGTAATTGTGCATTTCTTTGCATGTGCAACCATCGTTGTATTCCACTGTTGAGAACTTTAACTGAAACTGTATCCGTATATTGATTACAGATAAATACTCACCTAATTGCAAAGGCATGTGAAATTTGACTTGAGCCAAATATTAAGGAAAAAGAACATAGTTGTGTCATGGAAGAGACAATAACAAAATAACAAAACATAACAAAACAATAACAAAGCCTATTTTACATTCTTTTTCTCATCATTCACTTTCAACTTCCCACATAGTGGGACATCTAATTATACTTCACACACGATTATAACGTGTCCGAACGAGGGGTACATGCGAGGCTAAATAGTTCACAGCCGAAGTCTGGACAACACAAGCATGAGATCCTGAACATCCGGATCACAAAACAAGTCGTCCCAGAAGTTAAAAGCCTTGAGATGGTATCGTACGTTAGTTGTTGTTTTGTTCAAGGTGAATAATGTCAGTCTCGTCTACCCATGAATTATGCTCAGGGTCATACCCTTCCGACTTAACTAGCCTAGGTATCGGACAAGGTGGTGGTGTATCCGTAGGTGGTGGATTTTCACTTGGTGGCAATAATTCAAAAGACTGGTTGTCAAAATCGATAAAACCTTGATAATGACCTAGGAAGTCAGACCCAAGAATTGCATCATAAGTTAAATTTTCTATGATGTATGCATAAAATGTATAGTTATACTCACCAATTTGAAAGGGAACTAATGCCACACCATTGATGGGCATGTTTTCACCACTGACAGTTCTAATAGTTTGTTGAAATGTTTTACTGCTAGGCATTTTCTTGCAATTGGGGAATTTGTTAAATAACTTCTCACTAATCGTGGTGACAGATGCTCCAGTGTCGCATAAAATAGACGTAGGTATACCACTTACTTGACCTTGCAAGAATGGACAATTATTGCGAAACTCAAATGAAATAGAATTAACAGCATGCACAGAGGTTTTTGGAACAGGATATGACAGGCCTTCCAGGTCAGAATTCAAAACAACTACACTTGCTTCCTTACTTGTTCCTTTATTAACTTCATATGACAGGTCTACTAGATCATTACACACTGGTACATCTATTGTATGAGGCAAGAGAAATTGTTCTCTAGCACTAAATTTGACTTGCTGTGGTACATTTACACATGGTGACGCGGTCACCTCAAAACTATCTTTACACATTTGACTCACTGGGTTTACATTTGTTGTCAATGTATCACAATTTATCTTCGGTAGGCCAGAGGAGTTATTCTCCTCACATAATACGCTAAGTGACTTGCCAGCAGGTAAACTAAAATCAATATCTACAAGATCAGGATGTATATTCACACTTGTTTCAACAGGACATGGGGGGCTGTCAAAATCATGCTGCCCTTTTTCTTCTATATTAATTAGCATATCTGATACATCATTAAATTTGTCAGGTAAATTTTCAACAACATTTTCATTAAACATTTCGAGACATTTGGATTTCTCAAATACTTCAAAAATCATTGCTTCCCTATCGTCCCGGTATAAAGAAGCAGCCATTAGTTTCCCGATTCCGCATTAAATGGGTTGTTGGCAGTTCGCCCTTGTTGTGGATTGAATGTGGGAGCATCAGGATGTATGTTTGAATTAAATTGGGGTCTCTGTACAGGCTGGTGTTGCATGCCAGGACGAGTATATGAATTAAACTGAGATGAAAATTGACGTTGCATGCCAGGACGGATGTGAAAATTATGCTGAGAAACTTGTGGGGGCTGATGTTGTATTCCTCCAGCTCTACAGTTACGAGCAATATGGCCAACTTTATTGCATTTGTTGCATATGGGTAAGCCATCAGTTGTGCGACGGTTACGGTTAGAAGGAACACCAGAACTTGATGGGCGGTTTGTTTGGGTGAGGTATTGTGTTTGTCGCCGCACTTCCTCTCGAACTAATTTTGCTATGTTATTTGAGTCATGCATTGAGCCAGGTGGTGAGGGATGGCGTGAACGGTATTGACCATGGTTGAAATTATGTACTTCCTGATCAGGTATCCCAGGTTTCAAATAATTACTGTAAGCAGCTATATTTGGTGCTTGATTTTGCTGTTTGTCGCTTGCAAGTGCCTCTAAACTTTTAATAACTGATTGAAGCTGGGATTCAAATTTATACTGTGCCAAATTAGGAGTACTCACTGAAACAGCTTCTTTAAGATGAGCAAGGTTTTCTGCCTCTGCCAGAGTTTTTGGCTGTCCCAATATAACATGGCCTTTCAAATCTGGATGAAGGCCCTGAATAAAATAATGCATGCCTTCATTGTCACTTAACCCTAAGCGCTTGCATAGCCGCCTAATTTCTGCTGCATAATTAGCTACAGGCTCAGTTTCATTCTGCTTTCTTGATGATAATTGTTGACGCAAGAGCCACAGTGATGCCGGGTTACTAAACTGTTCTTTTAGTGCATTAATTAAAGCATCATAACTCTCAAAACTAGTATTAAGACTAGCATACCAAGATCCAGCATTACCCTGTAAGTAAAGGGGTAGGGCCCGTAGACGTTGTTTAGAATCCCACCCACAGAAATTAGAGTACCGTTCAAAGTGGCCAAGAAATGCTGTAAGGTCATCTGTCGGCTTACCAAAAAATGGTGTGGGATGGAGGGCAGGACCCACCTGTAAAGTATTTTGCGATATTAGTGTTGCCAATTGGGCTTGTTGTTGTTCATGTGATGTCAGAAAGTCAGTTTGGCTGCGAATGCCCTTTTCAGTACTTTCAGCAAGTTGCTCTTGGCTTTGCTGATTTGTTCTTGTAGATTTCTCAATAGCATTTAACAGTTCGGACAACTTATTCATAAGCTCAGTCTGCTCAGCCATACCCACGCTAGTATGGTCTACTGATTCCCGCAATGAACTATCAACACGACTGCGACTGCGAGTAATTGGACCGGACACAATGAAACGTTTGTATAACTGTGGTGAATAATATAACTAAATGTCTACACATAATACACATAAAAGGACAAGAAACATAGGACGAGAAACAACGTATTACATTAACAGCACTAAGAACAACTATAATACTCTTACACTCGCTCTGATTTTAGCATGAGGAAAAAAAGAAATTTTCTGACACAACATGTGGTTCGTAGTCGATTTCAACTAGCCAAGCAAATAAGGATAAAGTAAATATCATGTACCTCAAGTTATATACATGTAGCTTCGCGTCCGACGTCGCGTCTTTGTAATCTTTCGTTTTATCAGGTCGTCTGGTCTTTTTAATCTTTAGTCTTCTGGTTCTGGTTCTGGCTTTCGCTGTTTAATTTGCATCTTGCCCGCTTGCTCCACCAATGTTATACGACCCCTTTTCTTGGTTATATTCAGACTAATACAGCAGGATCGTCGGGGCCGTAGGGGTAATAGCTCAACAACAAGAATATCAATATCACTGACACACCAACACGGTTTCTTTTATCACATATATATATTTTGAATATTGTGTGCGTCTGTGCGTAGCTTTTGATAGATACAAACGCTCTGACTACAGTCAGCTCTACTCTGACACTAAGACTCTAATACACTCACTGTTTCCTGACAGTGTCATACACATTGTTTCCTGTTAATTAAATTATGCTATTGTGCATTGTTCATCAATGGTTCATTGTATGCTTCATGTGATCATCACGTGCAACACTCGTGCATATAATTCTAGTGTATTATTTCCGTGTATAACACTTGTTTAGGTGTTCCATATACGCAAAGGCCGTCGGGTTTTATTATAAAATCAATATTTAATTAAAACAAAATTACCTTCGTTAACGTCGGCTCCCTTCTTTTAACCGATTCTTTCGCCCTTTGTTTATGAGAAACCTTTTGAAATTTACAAAATCTTGCAAAAATGCGAGCAAAAATAAAATATATTTGCAAGAAATTTATCAATCATGAAATCAAGAAATGTTTGCTATTTCGCTGTCGTCATGAAGTCGTTCTAATGTAAATTGGACCAATCAGTGTCCGCTATTCATGACAGTCCGCCATATTTTTGAGATCAGTGAGGATGACCACCCATCGTTGGTGACCCGCGCAGAACTTTAGACTTCGCTAATGCATGCTTTCTTTTCCCCGGGTTTAAATAGCCGGGGGGAATTACTACCCTCGCACGGCGCTTCGCAGCGTCGGCTCGGGGATTACAGAAACAACATTTCAAAATTGACACGAATAAGTAAAATGCTTCATTATCATGAATACTTTACTACTAGAAAATACATGCATGCAGAAACACTCGCCTTGCTGACAAAACCGTTGTATTGTCCGAACAGGAAGTATCTAGAATAGTTGTCATGGTAACACGATAATTTTTTAAGAATATTCTTACAAATGAAAATCGCCTAAAAATATCACTTTTAATTACAAAATTATCAATTTCCCAACATATATATGTTAGGTATGTAATTATACGTAATACAAGCTTCAATATAAGGTAAAATTCAACCACAAACAATTCACAAAACGTTTTAAAGTGTTCTTTATAAAACTAAACTGCCTTTAACTATTAAATGGCTTTATCGATAAACTTTGAGTTTGCAATAAAATGATTTCAAATTCTCGCTTGCAAATAACTTTGGTCTTTGCTTTATTTTTATTTAAAAAATTCAATATAATAAAAAAGGGAATCAATATTAAAGTTACACTGAAATTTATATATGCTGTCTTGTTTAGTTGTTTCATATACGCAAAGGCCGTCGGGTTTTAAAGCCATTATAAAATCAATATTTAAAACAAACTTACCTTCGTTAATGTCGGCTCCCTTCTTTTAGCTGATTCTTTCGCCCTTTCTTTCTTGAAATTTACAAAATCTTGCAGAAATACGAGCAAAAATGAAATATATTTGCAAGAAATGTATCAATCATCAAATCAAGAAATGTTTGCTATTTCGCTGTCGTCATGCAGTCGTTATAATGCAAACTTTAAATTGCACCAATCAGTGTCCGTTATTCATGACAATCCGCTATATTTTTGAGATCAGTGAGGATGACCACCCATCGTTGGTGACCGACGCCCGCGCTCATTGATGAACTTTAGACTTCGCTAATGCTTTCGTTTCCCCGGGTGTAAATAGCCCGGGGGAATTACTACCCTCGCATTGCGCTTCGCGCCGCCGGCTCGGGGACTAATTCAAATGATGGGAATAAATAATTTAAATAACAATAAACGTGAGGGTGAATGTACAATCAAATCAATTAGTAAAAGACCAAATAATAATGGTATGTCAAGTAACCCAACAGAAATTGCTGACATACTCAATCAACATTTTGCTACAATTAGGGAAAAATTGAGCTCAACACTTTCTCAACTTGTAAAGATTTTCGAGATTACTAACCTGCCTCTAAACATTTTAACTCTTTTTATTTCAACCCTATCCCTCTCTCTCAAGTAGAGTGCGACATCGACTTAATCCCAAGCAACAAAGCAAGTTGTCTATATTCATTCCCTCAGAGAATACTGAAAGATGGCAAATATATTCTCTCAGATCCATTAGCTAAGCTCTTGAATTTATCTATAGAAACTGGAATATTTCCCACTAAATAAAAATATGCAAAAATAATTCAAATCTTCGAATTCAAACTAGCAAATAAAAACGACCCGACTAATTATAGGCCTATATCTTTGCTTTCCAACATTAATAAAACATTTGAACGTTTAATGTACAACAGATTAATAACATTTATTGAGATGAATAATTAACTGTTATTCTACGAACTCGAGTCGAATATGAGCTGATAGCCGATGAGGCGCGTAGCGCCGAATCGGCTATCGCTCATATTCGACGAGAGTTAGTGGAATAACTGTTTTATTATATACACCAGGTCTGAATTCACAGACTTTGCTTTTCGGATATTTTCAATATTTTTCTATTTTGTTTATGTTTTTATCTTCGCTCTTTCGGCCAATTATTGTTTCAAAAATATATATTTTTAACTATTTTAAATTTTGAAAATTCGTTTGCTAACCTGTTAACAGTTTGAGAGAGTTTTTTCATTGTGTTTTTTAATCTTGTAAAGGCTATTCAAACCGAATAACTTGCTGTTTTCTCGTTCGCAAAACGTCGGAAATTCAGTTTGAGCCGCCATTTGGTTTTTCGCTACTAGCAGGATATGATCTAATATCCTGCTAGTAGAAAACCAATCAGATTGCAGAATACCTCATATCCAGACCTTGTGTATATAATAATGTTCTTTATTTCCCTCAATATGGTTTTCGTAAGAATCACTCCACTGAGCATGCATTACTAGACCAATTCAGTAAAATATCGATCAAGACTTATACTCGTGCATGTGGAATATTTATAGACTTCACAAAGCTTTTGACACTGTGGATTATGATGTTTTATAGTATAAATTAAACCATTATGGAGTTAGAGGCATTGTTAACAAATGGTTTTCCTCATACCTAATATGTAGATCTCAGACTAGAGAAATTGAATCAAATATATCACACAAAGAAGAAACCCTATGTGGTGTACCTCAGGGCTCTATATTAGGCCCACTATTGCTCTTAGTAAATATCAACAATAAAACATATTCTTTAACAAAGTTGAAGTTTTTTCTTTTTGCACATGATACAAATCTTTTATACGCTGACTATAATTTAAAATTCCTTCAAACAATAGTTAATAATGATGACTTAATAAAATTAAACGATTGGCTAATTTCAAATAAACTAAGCCTTAATATTAATTTTTCATACTTATCAGGAACGCTTAATTATGTACCTAACTTTAAAATCTTTGCAACTCACAGCAATATATAGCTCTCGGACACAAATTTAAAGAAAATATGTAAATATTTAGGAATATTATAGACAGTCATTTGACATGGAACAACCATGTTGACTACATTAATTCAAATGGCACAACCCAATATCTCTGAGTATTTTACTCCCGTAAATACTATTCATTCACACAATACAAGATCCCCAGCATTTATCAGGGGCGGATACAGACCGATGCCAACGATGCGAATGCATCGGCCAAATTTGAAAAATCATGTCGCTTGAAATAATATATATAGACATATTATGCTGTCGTCAATACTTAGTCAAGCACTCTGTAATAGAATATCTTTGAATCTCTCCAGCTATCAAACCGAAAATATTTGCTAAACTTGATTTGACTTGTGACTGTCCATCTCAGGAATACACTATTTGGGATGAAATCCAATTTAAATAGTCTCAATAACAATCGAAATTGTCAAAATAAGCCCAATATGCGACGTGCAATCGCAAATGTGTATTTTCTGTTATTTATTTTTTTATTTTGCGACACTTATGCGTCAATAATTTCGCGACAAAATATGTTATTTTTACCGCATCCTTTGAAGTTACAGTAGAAAGTCAATGCATCACCTACGTCAAAGTAGATTTGGTTTGCATCGATTTTCGACCATTTTGCATCAGTGAATGCATCGGTCCCGAGTCCTTTTCCGCGTGAAATCTACTGTGACATCATCAAATCTATTGTTTTGGAGCCCTACGTTACCAACCTCGTTCCCAGGGCTTTTCCCTTTTTGTCATTGGGAAGGCGGGAAAAGGCCCTGGCACCGGCCAGTCACATGACTTTCAACACCCAGATATACTGGGTGTAATAAATTATAATAATAATAATTAGAAAATCCAAGATGGCCGCCAACCTAAGAGTGTCCACAAAATTTAAGTGCTTAGAGCGGCTTAAAAATGCGTTTAGTCTTTGAAATTTTCCCTTCTTTTTGCTACCGACGTACTCGAAATCAAATTCTTCAGCTTTTATTACATGGGAACTATGTAGTTGCTGTTCTTCCAACTGGGTTTGGTAAATATCGTTCGTTCGCTAAACAAAATTA